GGGCAGGGAATATGGGACAATGAAGCAGCAGAGATCACTTCCCTTGGCAGCTTTCTCTATCCCTATCACCAATTGTGCAGGTGCCGTTTGTGGCTCTTCAAGTCAACAAGTCCCAGAATAGTTCAATGATCAGGAAAGCACAGCAGGACAAACTAACTTGAAAAAACAGACTCTCTTGCTGCCTAGAACTAAACAACACCAAGACAATTAAAGTAGTTAGTAGCACTGATGATCCCACTCTCCCAGGTCACCTGACTGTGACCATCAACTGAATGGACAGTGAAACACATTGGATTGCATCCGTGGGAAATGGATGTGATTTATGGCTGGCAATCAAATCTTTATTACAGTCAAAGACCAGCATACACTAACATCAGAAGTACTAGTCTAACAACCTTACATCTTTCAGATGAAAACAGTTTACCAAAATGTAACTAAAGAGTAGGTATTGACTATAGCTCTGGATGCTATTATTAAATCATTCTATTCTCCTCCATATTTGGGCAATGAGGAGAATAGATCACAGCCACTGACCTTTGATGTTCAGTATATTGAAAAGTTTCGCCTACTGAGTTCTGATATACAAGTTCCTGTTAAAGGCATAAAAGCAGGTCAGCATCTTTAAACCCATCCATTGACAATATGTTTTCTAACTTACTGATTTTACTTACTTACAATATTTACAGCCCTCCCTTTGGTTGATAGATCTCATACATGGATGATCATAAAAGAAACTGAACAATCAATGAACTTCTGAAAGCATAAATGCACCAAAGACAAATTCCTTGTGTGTCCAATCACACTTGGCCAATAAAGAATTCTAATCTAATAAGATTTCAGCAGTGAGTAGAAAAATTCCCATGCTAAACTTTTCAGGGACATGAAGTGAATGCTTAGAAACAACTATAGCCCTTCCCTCCACTCATTTTGCTGTGAAGGAAAAGTCCTCTGACCGGGAATTTTTCTTTTCCTTGATCTCTCTGGCAGCAACAGGACAGAGAGGAGGTGATAACGGAATGCAAATAAAATTCACCATCCACACCATAAGAGTTAGCTCTTTCCTATTTCATAATTATTCTGAAAAAAACTGGTTTGTTTTTAACCTAGTACACAAACAGAGTTACCAATTGTCCAGGTAAAAGAGTTGGTTTTCTTTTGCAATCTTTAACAGACGTAATGTTAATATTTTGCAGCAGAAGCAGTGGGTGACCTTGGGCGAGTCATTCTCTTTGAGTCCTAGGAAGGAGACAATGGCAGATCACTTCTGAAAAACCTTGCCAAAAAACCTGCAGGGGCTTATCCAGGCAGTCACCAGGTGTCAACACTGACTCAGAGGGAACCCTCCTCTCTCCCTCCAAAAAAAATCAGCATTCCCAAAAGTTATTTTTGGATACATAGATCCAGCTTTCTTGAGACACTTACAATGCTGAGAATGGTAGAAAGAAAGAAAAGAAGAGGATGACGGACTTGATTACAGCAACAATGGGTGCCCCATTGGAAGATCTGAAAGGACAGGGTGGGGACGGATCATCTTAGAGAAGTCACGTTTATGTGCTCCCTAACAAGCAAAACCAACTTGATGGCACACCATCAACTGAAGGTTAAAAATCCTCCTGAGATAAGTGAGCCTCTGCTGCTAGGATATGTAACAAGGACTCTCTTATGGATATATGAACATATGATGTTTAAGCCAATAATGGCTTTAAAGCAGGGGTGAAATGCTCCCAGTTCAGACCGGATCACCCGATCTGGTAACAATGGAGGCGGGTGGTTCAGAGAACTGGTAACAAAAATCCCTGCCCCCTCCCCATTGCCCAGCTGAGCAGCGCGATCATCAGAGGCTTTTTATTTTTAAAAGCATTTTTTCTACAACCTCTTTGGCCGAAAAATGCTTTTAAAAGTTTTTTTAAAAAGCCTCTGATGATCGCACGGCTCAGCTGGGATCATCAGAGGCTTTTAAAAGCATTTTTTCTACAACCTCTTCGGCTGAAGAGGTTATAGAAAAAATGTTTTTAAAAGGAAAAAAAGCCTCTGCTGATCAGGCAAGTCAGCTGGGATCATCAGAGGCTTTAAAAGCATTTTTTTTACAACCTCTTCAACCGAAGAAGTGGTAGAAAAAATGGTTTTAAAAGTACAAAAAAAAAAAAGTTGGCCATGCCCACTCAGTCATATTACCACCACCACCACCACCAAGCCATGCCCACAGAAGCAGTAGTAAAAAATTTTACATTTCACCACTGCTTTAAAGGTGATAGACAGTGTTTCAATTGGGGTCTGGACGAGCCTGGAAGTTGCTAAGGCTGTTTCATAACTGTGGCATGTAATATTGTGATTATTGGCCCTAGCTTGCTTTTTCAATTTGATAACTAAAAAAGGAATGCAGAATACAAATTCTGCAGTAGAGAGAAGGAGAGGACTCAGATAAGGCTTTTGTTGTGCAATTACTTGTCTCATTCATGAATTCTTTTCTTTTGAAACGCCTGTGCATTCTTTGGCTTCATCTATTTTTATCTTACCAGAGAAACTCCACTAAGGAAGGAAAGGCAGAATAGTTGTGCAATACCTATTGATCGATCATATTAAGAGCCCACTGTCTGGAAACAGGGGAGAGGATGCCAAGGGCAAGAGTGATCATGGATAAAAATACGATCAGATGCAGATATGTGCCTTAAATTTTGTTTCCTTCAGAGGTTTCTAATGAAATTGTTCAACACTATTCATCTTCTGTCCAACTACTACTTTTCAGGACTTTCCTCCCCTGTAATGATTACATTCATGACCTTTTTGGCAAGAAAAGAGTACTGGATCCTGCCACAGTTTTTCTTTTTACAAGTCCTGTTCTTTTTTTATGCAATGCATAGAGAAAACTCATATTGTTACTGTGAAATGTCAGATTCGGAATAATAACTGGTGTTTTTTTAATGGGGATGTGCAGCTAAAAAAGAATTGTTGATGTTTGATATCTCTTTCGTACATTTTGCTTGCTAAGGTGAAGCAAGGGAGAGGCAACTGTGCTCAACCAGAAGCACTTTTGCAGGGGAAACGTCATCCTTTTGAGGAACTGAATGCTGTGTAGGAAGTTAGCACCCACCCCTTTCCTGGAAGAGTGAAATATTTTAGGAAATATGAAAAAGGCAGAAATATGAGAAGCATATTTTACAGACAAAGCAGCTCCCACCTTCCTGCCCCCCACCCTTTGTCAATGGGCCATTAAGGCCTGGGCCAGTCTACTCTACATAACAAAGATCTACCTCCTTCAGGCAGAGCCATAGTAGGAATTGCGAAAGATAAGATTAGCCCTCTACACAATAGCAGTAGAAACTCACCACATGTGACCTGGGAAGCACATCTGACCATCAGCCAGCAAGACCCCCACCCCCTGGGAGTCTGACAACCAATCAGGATACTCTTTCGTGGCCCCAAGAAATGCAGAGCCAGAGAGAGCATAAAAACCCAAGGATTTACTGTATCTGCCCTTTTCTGTTCAGGAACTCAAGCCATGTGATCCTGTCCACCATTAAACCATCTTTCCAAGCAGTCTCCATGTTTCCAGTGTCTGTTTTCCCCACTTGGAGCAGAACCCAGAAGGATGTTTCTTCCAACAGCTGCAGACCCCAACAAGATTTTATCTGGGTGTTTGTTTTCACTCTGTACATTTATGATATCCACAACACACAGCATAATGTGAACTTTGTCTCAATAATCCAATACAACCGCCTGGTTAAATAACATCTTCCAAAAAGGCAATGGTATCAGAATTCCTGTTGTTAGTTGTTTACCAATTTATCCATGCCACGTCTCACAAATTGGCAATGAAGATATCGAAGTGTGTGAATACGGTCTGCCTTTCAGGATCAACCATGAACAATAAAGGACAGTCAAAGACCAAGAAGTCATCGTAGTCTCGCACTTGGTCATACAGCCATGAAAGCCTTGGAAAAGATAGTCAAATGCCATGATATGTTTATGTTGTACATACAAAGATTTATTTATTTATTTATTTTGTCGCATTTCTATGCCGCCAACTCCCAAGGGACTCTGTGCAAGCCATGGTATTCTTCATAGTACCCTACAGAAATGAAAGTTGGACTTTGAAGAAATAGGATAGGAAACTTATTCATGCCTTTGAACTCTGGTGCTGGAGACGTTTGTGAATATCATGGCCAACCAAGAAAACAAATAAATGGATCATTGAATAAATCAACCCCAAGTTCTGACTTGAGACACAGGTTTAAATTACCCTAATTCATGCACAATACTTGAAGCTCCTCTGGAAAAGGCTCTAATTCTGGGAAGGGTGGAAGGAAAGAGAAAAAAAGGATGTCTAGCAGCAAGGTTTGAATCCCGAGTACAGGTCTCCTGCGTGAGCAGGGGGTTGGACTAGATGACCTCCAAGGTCCCTTCCAACTCTGTTACTATTAACATAAGGTGGATGGACTTAGTTACAGTTGTAATGAGTGCACCATTGGGAATCTTGAAATAACAGGTTAGGGCAGGAGTAGGCAACTATGGGAACTTTATGATCTGTGAAATCCCAGAATTCCTGAATGAGAATGGATGACTCAGGAATTTGGAGAGTTTAAGGCCACAGGTCATAAAGTTGCCATAGTTGTCCATCCCGGGGTTAAGGACAGATCAACATGGAGAAAATATGTCTATGTGATCAATAAGGATTGAAAAGGATTTGATGGCACATAATCAAAATGAGCTTTGTGGAGTCCCATTCCACATCATCAAAAGTAGGATCAAGTCGACTGTACTCTGGGAAATTGAGGTACTAAAAAATTGGTTTACAAGGTCACAACACTGTTTAGTTGCTCTTCTAGGTGATCTAAGTGATTTAGGCAATTTTAACGGTACAAATAGGAAGCCAATCTGCAGGTGGCACAATATGGGAGAACTAGATTGCTCAAAACGCCTTTTTAAAAAAAAAAAAAAAAAGCAAGCAAACTCGAGCCTAAAAGCAAAACCAACTTTCCAAATAGAGACGGCAGGTGCGGAAGAAGGAAGAGGCTGCAGAATAACAGAGGGAGGGAAAATCCACTCAGTTCCCCTTCTTTTTCTCTAGGGGACCCATGTGCCAGTTCTCCATCATTAATCCATGAAACGTAGTTAACCGAAAATGTGATCCTAGAGGGGCAAGATTAAAAGCAGCCTCAAAGACCGATTGCCCGGGCGGGCTGCTACCCGGTCACCGTCTGCACGGCTGCGTTCCTGAAAGTGGCTTTCTTTGAAAGGTAGGTAATCAAGGAGGCTGCAAAACGTTGAGGTAATGGTATATTTTTGTCCCTGCCGGCAGTCCTTCTGTCCCACTCCCCCACCCGGACCACCCCGCCCCCGCCGGCCTCGCAGACTGCAGTAGATCGTGCGATCCACACTAATCAGCCTCTGCTCTGCTTGCCTTTCTCCGGGAGACGGCGGGTTACGTCATTCCGTAACACAGGCAGCAGCTGTTAAATCAGCGGGATCTGCAGAGCTCCGGCGCTTTTTTTTCTTCCCCCGCCTCCCTCTTATTTCAGGTTTAGGCTCTTTTCCCTGGAGAGAACACGGCTGTGGATTTTGGGGAGTCTGAAATCTTATGGGATGGCCCCTTCGGAACCAGGCATCTTTTTAAAGAACTGGGTTATGATTACAAGCTTTGGACTGCAAAACTCCATCGACGCTTGGCGGCAGTAAAGTGGCCGTTCGGATTTCTGCAGTCTTAAGATCTGGTAACATAACTACGTAGCCAGAAGGACTTGGTTAACTGGCCTCTTTCATTTGCTGCGCTCCTCGCCAGAGACATGGTTTTCCCCCAGGGGCTTTTCCGCACATGTGTTCACAATAGTGCAGTTTGTTAAGATATGTAGCCAAGGATGTTTGTTCCTGCTTACAAATCGAACTCTGAGAAATAGAACTGCAGGGGTTATAAAATTGAAAATCCCAGTCCCTGCTTGCATAAGCAACCTCAAGTGCTTCTAGAGCAGAGGTCTTCAAACTTGGCAGCTTTAAGACTTGTGGACTTCAACTCCCAGAATTCTGGGAGTTGAAGTCCACAAGTCTTAAAGCTGCCAAATTTGAAGACCTCTGTTCTAGAGTAAAGGAGGTTTTCTACTTAACCCTTTAGTTATATGCAGTTCTTCCTTCTTTCTCTCCTTAAGCCTGTGTTTTTATTTTTGCTTTTGTGGCAGGTGATGGTAATGGAGCTAGCAAAATATAGGAGAATAATATATTTCAGTATGATAACATGCCCGCTTTCCCTATAAAATTCCACAAACAGGCAAGGCAAATACAGAGAAAATGTTCGTTTGGAATCCTTCCTGTCTTAGAATTTTTAATATTGCTCACATGGGGATCAGAATATGAAACCACCTGCTGGTACTACCTTACCTTTAATATGATGAATGCATCTAAATGCAAATACCAAAGCCCTCTGAAACTTGAATATACCAGCTATTGCAGACACTGGGCTGCTCTTGGTGTGGATGGAAACGATTGTTTGCCAGTTTGCCTATGGCTGTTTACTCAGAAGTAAGGACAACTGGGTTGTTACTCCTAGGCATACATAGGCCTGGTCTGGGGCAGGCAACAGTGTTGGGTTATACATGTTTGTTTTCCAGGCCACTGCATAGCAGTTTGAATTTTAACTATACATATCACCCATTTTATTTTTACCCTTTCCTTCAGCCAAGAAATTACTAGTCACTATGAACAATGCAAAACTGACAGAGTAGGTGTCTTTCTGAAAAAAGGATCTTGAAACTCATTGCTCCGACATCTAGAAATTCCTGTAACCTTTGTTTCCTTGTAAAGAAAGAATATTTGAGATCCCAGGGTTTTAAAAGTGATTGTGATCTTTTTCTTTTGCCTAAGCTCTCTAGGTAGCTCTCAGCAAGCCACAATCTCTTCGCACCAAACCACTGAAGACGTCTTTGAAGATATCAGTTTCCATCCTGGTCTAATAATAGCATTGGAAGCTTGGGCATTTCAATAAGGGAAACTATATAAGAAGAAACACCAAGCTACAGCACCAAGTGAGATAAATTTCAGAAGGAATATGGAAAGGGTAATCACAGGTCACTCCTGTTTTCTGTAGACAGATGCTTATGGCTCACCTGCAACAAGGAAAATATATTCGTGACCTAGAGAAAATTATTGGTTAAGCATTATTGAGAGAATTCTGTAAAGTGCTAAATACATATTTTATAAGCTAAACACTGGAGACCTTATATAGCAATAACACTTACTTATATACCGCTTCATAGTGCTTTACAACCCTCTCTAAGCGGTTTTACAGAGTCAGCATACTGCCCCCAACAATCTGAGTTGACCTTCAACCTGGTGAGATTCGATCTGCTAAACTGCTGGCAGCCAATGATCAGCAGAAGTAGCCTGCAGTATTGCACTCTAACCATTGCGCCACCACGCTCTATATGTATCCCAACTGAATAGCACACAACTGAATTCTCCCATTCTAGGTCCTTTTCCATTGTTTCTACTTGACCCAATCTAATGGGATATGCTCATTAATTAGTAGATACCTGCCATTGAGAATAGTTTAAGAAAGCCTCTTCTAGCTACTATGAAATACATTTCTACCTATTCTTAGAATGAGATTTCAATTAGGTGAAAGAAAGTAACTTCCTTAATTGAGCAAAACAAAATTATATTTTTAAAAAAACTTTCAAACTGCAGAGCTATATTTTCTTAAAATAAGGACGTTACACAGTAAGTGAAGGGGATGCATATTGTATTATATTGCATTCATTTCAAACCTACCTTTTGTTTAGCCTTCCTGTCACAATAAGCTGTGGTGGAAAAGGAGAGCAACTGACAATATGGTAGAAATCAGGAATTATATTCAGTGTTAACCCAAAAGTGCTTTTTCAAGAGGCAACTGGACTTTCTGATTTTTCTTTGAAGACATTTTGCTTCTCATCCAAGAATCTCTGAGAGCTGAAGAAGCTTCTTGGATGAGAAACAAAATGTCTTCAAAGAAAAACCAGAAAGTCCAGTTGCCTTTTGAAAAAGCACCTTTGGGACAACCATGACCTGGATGACTGAGAATCTCCATAGACATGTAGTGTTAACATCTGCTTGCTGAATGACACAGGTGAGCAAAACAGATTCCCCTTTCTTTGAAGTTTCTCGACACAGATATGTTCCAGAGGTCTAGTGGATTGCCTATCAAATAACACTGGCATCAGTAGCTAATACATTCTAAACTCTTGCTCCAGGTAAGTATATTTGGGTAAAAGGACTCCACATTAAATCAGATTTCTTTCCATCTTTTTGCACAGGTATTAAAGCACAAGATTTACAGGGCCCTTCTATAAAAAAGGAGTCTGGAAGTTCCTTTTTTTGGCTAACAATTTATAATAAAGGAAGCAACACTTTCATGAGCTAGAGGAAACATCAAATGGATAGAGTAGCTAGGCCAATGTATGATTTAAATTGGGGTGAAGTTGGGAGGAGGGAGGGGAAGACAGGGTGGCTATGCAGATGCAGGTTACATAAGAGTCAGATTACAAGTGTTTTATCGATTAATAATTGTACAGCAGTGTATTAAAACCTATTGTTGAAACGTTCAGAGGTTAAATGAAACGTTTTGATTTTAGGTGAGTTCAGCAATTTCTTGCTCAGTGGTGCTTTTTCCCAAAACACACATTTTGAAGTCTGCCAGAGAGAGTTCTGGTTAGAATGCTGTGATAATACTTCATCCTTTTTTTGAGTCCTGATGTTAAATTTGTGGTTACTAGTTTTTGTGAAAAAAAAGTTCCATTTCTAATCCAAAGGGAAATTGTTGATAGATGATCACATTAGAACAGGGATGTCAAACTCAATTTTATTGAGGGACACATCAGGGATGTGTTTGACCTCAGAGAGCTGGGGGGGGTGGCCAGAGTTGGGCGTGGTCATGGTGGGCGTGGTCGGGTGGACATGGCCATGGTGGGTATTTGAGACAGGCTCAAGATGCATTTTTCCTCTTCTTTCTTTCCATAGTTCTTTACTATAACCATTTCCCCATCTCTTCTACCAGGTATTACTGGCAAACATTTATTACTTATTCTTCATATTCCACTAAACTTTTAATTTCTAAATTTATACCCGATTGTTTAATAGTAAATTGCTTTTCCAGGCAGAAAAGTTATTTATACTATTGTATTTTTATTATTCAACTAATAATAAAAAATACAATAGCATAAATAACATGATAATACAAGATCTAACAGCAGAGGTAAATTTCCAGGATAGTAAATGAAATGGCTGTGAATTATAGATAGAGACTTGCTGTTGATACATATGTGAGGGCAAAATAAACATCTGGGTTTGTTGCAGGGTCTAGTTTCCATGTGAACATTACTATCCTGTTTTGACCCCTTGAGAGAATCTGCTTCAGGTTGGGTTGCTGACTGTATGCAAATATGGATCTTCCAGCTAGTGCAATATGGATTGGAGCTTATTAATGATGCATTTGCCTGTGCATCAACTATGAGTTATACTTAACAACCAATCATGTTCTGTTTCTGTGGTACATCTTTTAATAGATCTTCCTACTAAGAGTGCTTTTTCTAAGGAATTCCTTATATCATTCCATTATTTTCTTGGAATGTAAATATTTGGATGTTTTACCGTGCTATATATAGTCCTACAGAGACATACATACTTGGGAGACTCAATTATACATTGTAGCACTTGCTAAGGACACAGATATTTTTGAATAAAATAAAGTATATCAAGGAGAAAATGTATGTGGTTGCTGAGAATTGACAGTATCTTCATAATAATATTTTATCTTATTCTTAGAGGAGACACAGACTGTAGATGCTTGCATGTAACTGTTGTGGATTTTTCTGTCATTTGGCTCCAGTGCTGAAAATATTGTGCCAGAAAAACAAGAGCATTCGTATGTCAGCAATCACACATTTGTCCTTGACTTTTTCTTTTTCTTTTTTTTTTAACCACAAGGAAGAAGTCATCTCTGCCAGCATAACTGGCTGGCACAGTTACTGCCATCTTCTGGAGATGATCTGGTTTTACAAGCCTCAAGTCTTTGTCATTTCTGGTGAATGGAAAGGAAGTGGGTTAATCACGTTTTGTATCCTCAACAGTGATGGTTGAGGGTGCTTGGAAAAAAGATTTTGTTAAAGTTCAGAGATTAAAGCCAAAAAATGAACACTTATGTAAAAACTCTGAAACCATAATCATATGGCCACCCTCATCAGTCAGAAATAGATTGCTCTTCAATTCTTTTGTACCACTGTAGTCCAAAGATACGAAGGCACATTATTCTCATTGCTGGAGCAATACCCTTCCTTCTGCCAGTTGAAACTGCTGGCTGAATTCTTATGCTGGTAGGAGAGTTCTAGTGCAAAACAAAAGAGAAGGGTCATTGTCACCCTTTTGGGAGGATGGCCACTTACATGCTTACCTGTTATACCTAAAGAGGGCAAGCCACAAGCTGCAGCAACCTAACTTTGGAAGAACAGAGTCTCAGGTTGCCAGTTCTTCACCCGACCCTGGTTGAAGATAGAGAGGAGGTAGATGTAGTCTTCATTAGGAAACAAATTAAGTCCTTGCTTACTGTTTTGTTTTCCTTCCCATTTCTTTTTATCTTTCACCTTCCCCCAAGCACCCTCAAAGAATCAGAGGCACACTAGCTGTGCCTTTTAGATCCTGCCTTGCTCCCATAACACAGATAGCAAACAACACAATAAGAATGAACAGCTCCAGAAACAGATTTCTATATCAGAAGTTTCTGAGTCATAATAGCCATATGTTATTCCTGTACTGTCACTCCTATTTTCTGATGAACCCATTACTGTTGTTATTTTTGCATGCCTAACTCTACCATCCCATCTATGACTGAATAATTCAACAGTCATCACAGTGAACAGTTTTGCTGGAATATTGGCAATTGCAGCATCAAATCAGTCTCAACTGTTGGAAACTTCATGGTTGCATCCATGGAGATTTAAGATAAAATACAAAAATGATTTGCTACTGTCTTTTAATTTTTAAAAATGTCCTAGTTAGTTTAACAGCCCTGCATTTACTGCTGGTCTCCCTTCCAAGTACTAACCACACCACACCTTGAGTTTAGGAGAGTCTGACACGAACAATATGACTATTTCTTTTTTGTAAGTCAAATTCTACTATGCACATGCTTGCATTCCCATGAAATAAGGTATTCTATTCTACGTACTGTTAAGCTTTAAATTGTGTCTTAGAGGTATTTTACATGTAAGAGATTAGAACTGTGCCAATAGAAGAGAATGTATTTACCTCAGGTTTGAACTGTGGAATCCTTGGTGCTGAGACTGGTTCTTGCTTGCAGCATTTTGTTACCTGACTAGGTAACATCTTTAATGCTAGAAGCGAGTGGGGTTTGCTTTCTGTTTATATACAGTAGCTTGTCCTGTCAGTGTTGGTGGAGATATTGTTTTCTCCTTGGTAGGTCCTTGACTAGGCTTTTGTTTACTACTTGTTAGTCTGCAAGAAAACAACCAAGCTCAGTGACACCATGGACTCCACAGATTAGAAATGTTTGTTATATTTTGCCTTTCAGTTTAAATAATAATCAATGTGCCTTACAATATTAAGATTAAAACTTTTGTATCTTTTGTATCTTATCTATTAAAACTTTTCTAACTTTTGTATCTATGTATTTTATTCTGTGCCTGTTCACCGCCCTGAGTCCTTCGGGAGTAGGGCAGTATATAAATTTAATTTTAAAAAATGTATCTGTCTCCCACATGTGTTAGCCACAGAGACAGCAGATCACATGGCTATTGAATTTTTTTTTTTAATTTCTCCCAGTTGGGATTCTCCATCAAAGAGAATGGAGGGTAGGACAGAAAGATTTCAGGCACCTATGGCAGCTGTTAAAGGAGAGCTTGTGGGGCAGTTTAATCATTCAGAGACAAATGGAAATGTCAAGGTAATCAGCTGAGTGATCAATTACTCCTGAAACAGATCGGAAGCCAGTGAAGCTGTGACAAAAATAAGAATATGCTTCCAAATAAAAGGGGTGCATTCAGGAGAAACATGTTGCTACTACTATATTAAAGTCTCACAATAATTAAATTATAAGCCATCTGAAGCAAAACTTCTCTTTCTCTAAGGACAATGTAGCTGGTAAACCCACAAAAACATAGTTTGCTGGAACTCCTGCTGAGTAAAGCTCAGTTCAGGGTCATTCCTGATCTAAAAATTGGACAGGAAAATATAACCCATTTGACACTTGGTAAAAATCCCTATTGCCAGATCAGCAGTTCCATTAACTAGGAATCTGTTCTCTGAACGGTTGATTTTTGTCCATCAAATTTCCCTGCTTCTGTCTTTAATCACCAGTTCAGAGCCTTGATACCCTTCAACCTGCGGTAGAGATACAGATGGGTCACCAACACACCCCAAATCTTCAGACAACCATTTCAAGTATTTTGATGATGCTATGGGAACCCTGAAGGACACCCTCAATTGCCTCAGCCAATTCCCTAAAGTCCTATTTAGGGCTGCCCTAAAATATTGGTTGTAAGACTATTTGGGATGGCAGCACTGTTTGGAATTGTGGCAGGATTGAAGGAAGTGGAGGGATGTGGGTTTCTCAGAGACACAGCACATACTGTGCAGTTCATGTTGGAAGAATTCCTGAAAAACCAGGTGGAGAAAAGGCCATCGCTGGTCTTCTACTCACTCATGGCCCTGCCTTCCTCCTGCAAAGCCTTGCAAAGCACCAGCAGCTTCCGATGCACTGAAGCCCACAGACCAGTTCTCTAGGGATGCTTCTAGTACGTATCCCACACCTTGCACCCTGTGTCATCATCAGAAAGAAAATGGCAAAAGTTAGCTGCCAGTAGTATGGGTTGGCAGGGGTAAGTGGCAGAGTCAGGACAGCCAAAAGGACAGAGTTGGAGTGGGAGATAAGGATGGCATTGTCCTGGTCTAACACCTGCAACAAGGACCATTGGGACTCTTATCACTAAGCAGTGCAGTCCCATGATATTTTACCTAATGACTGCATCACTTAGTAATGGAAATTCCAACCCCAATTGCCATTTTAAGTTGAGGGCTACCTGTATACATATTCAACAAACAACCAATAATGTACCATAGGAAGATGAGGGTTAGGCATACTCCTTCCATCTTCATGATAGAGCTACAACTTTAGGGGGCTGGGAGTTTGAAATCTACATGCAACCCTCTGCTGGGGTTGCATACCAGCTCAAGATTCACCCTTTCAGCTCCAGCGGTGAGGAGACTGATCCCCTAACTAGCAGACCTGTTGATGCAATACAGGTAGTCTTCAACTTACAACAGTTCACTTAGTGACCATTCAAAGTTACAGTGGCACTGAAAAAAGCGACTTATGACCATTTTTGAGTCATGGTGGCGCAGTGGTTATAGTGCAATACTGCAGGCTACTTCTGCTACCTGCCGGCTGCCTGCAATTTGGCACTTCAAATCTCACCAGGCTCAAGGTTGACTCTGCCTTCCATCCTTCCGAGGTGGGTAAAATGAGGACCCAGATTGTTGGGGGCAATATGCTGACTCTGTAAACCACTTAGAGAGGGCTGTAGAGCACTGTAAAGTGGTATATAATTGCTATTGCTATTTTTCATATGACTGTTGACCATGGTCATGCAATTTACATTTGGATGCTTAACAACTGTTTCATATTTATGATGGTTACAGTGTCCCGGGTCATTTGACCATCTTTTATGACCTCCTGACAAGCAAAGTCAATGGGAACATCAGATTCACTTAACAACTGTGTTACTAATTTAACAACTGCAGTGATTCACTTAAGAAATGTCAGAAGAAAAGTCACAAAATGGGACAAAACTCATTTAACAAATATCTCACTCAGCAACATAAATTCTGGGCTCTATTGTGGTCATAAATTGAGGATTACCTGTAATTCAGTCGATACCATAGCAGTGGGACAGGAAGTATGGACATGAATTTCCAGCTACTAAAAAACTGAAGCACATTGTGCGGCTGGATAACATGTAGAGGGCTGTGCAGGTGCCAGGTATTTTGAGGTCAGCATCTGAGTTTTTATTGTATTGCCCTATTAAGTCTTGGAGGAACTCAAGCCCATTGCATTTTATATTGAGCTACAGCAGGGCTGTCAAACTCCCGGTCCACAGGTCAGATGTGTCACACACTGGCCACACCCAGTTTAGCGAAGGGCAAAAAAGGCCTGATACGTCACGTGACAACACCGTGGTGCTGTGAGTTTGACACCTCTGAGCTACAGTTTTGCACAGAATCATTTCCATTCTTGTCTACCCCAGGATAGAGACAAGAGAAAGACAGTAGCTATTGCTGTGTTGTCTCTGTTTTTTAGATACTCTTGCAGTCGTTGCTGCTGTTGTGTGGGAGCACAACCAGACAATGATGGAATCCATTTCGACAGAACCGCCTTGAAGAGTCAGTGTTCTAATAAACTGAGCAGAAAAGCAGCCTCACCACATTCTTTAGAATATCTAATGTTGAGCAATAAAACCTAAAGTAATCCATTAAATACCAGATGGAATATTAAGTTATGCAAGAGATGGAACAACTGGAGAGCATTGTTGACCTGCTCAGCGCAGTCTGAAAGAGATCAGCATCTGCTTGAGCTGGGCAAGTTCGCTATTAAGCATAAAGAGCTGGCTGCCTTGGGCAGAAAATTCTGGAAGGTATGACAGAATAAAAACTGAATTTCCATCTTCTTGAGTCAATGTTCCTCTCCCCCAGATTGCCTAATGTTAATCTGAGTTACCTTTTCATCTCACCTAGAGCCCAAGCTGCCAGGCACAAAGCAGTTTAGAAAGGCTACAGACTGAGTAAACATGCTAAGCAGCCCTAACCTGAAAAACAACTTCAAACTAGATGAATGAATTTCAACTCCCAGAATTCTCATTAATGGCCATGCTAGCTAACTGGGAGGATTCTGGGACTTGTCTAGCAGATAACATGGGCGTTCTTGCACTGCAGCATTTGTCAGCAAACATGATACGCAATGTGCTGGTCTATTAAACCCAAATTTCCACAAGATGGCAGCCAAGAGATACAATAAACCCTAGAACAGAGGCAAGGGAGCAGCAGTTACCTGAAGGAGGACTGCTTGTGCTATGGGCCCACCCACCAATTCCTAAACTGACCTCAGGCAGCAAAGGAGATTGCTTGTCCTGAGGCAGTGAGGGGTGGGGGGATCTGGCTAATTTCTGTACACGACAAGGGGTTGGTGTGGGGAGAAAGTTTTCTCCCAATGGAGCAAAACGTCTTGGATGACCCTCTCTATGCTGATAGTTGCATTTGTTATATCTGGCCCAGAGATTCATACATGGCTTTCTTTTATGTGCATGAAATTCCCTTCAGATATAAGAGCTCAGTTGCACCGCTGAAAAGTTCCTCTAGTTGGCTTTCTATAATACTGTAGGAGAAGCATAATCCAGGCCACAAATTGCTTCTGGCAGTTTCTCTCTGGAAATTAAATATGATCAATAGCAATTGATAGCCAGATGTTGTTTGCTACAAATACATTTCATGAAGAGATGAGTTTGCAGGTATTTCAGTGCAGGAGCCAGACCAGATCTGAACATTAGATAGATTAGATAGGTGCTTAAGCCTATCTGTGATCACACCAGAAGAGACCAATTTAAGGAGTAAAGAAAGACGAATTCTTCCACTTGAGCAAGGCAAAAAGAGGAGAAAGGGCTACTGAAATGCAGAGCCACAAAAGGAAGAAGCCCCCTCTATCAATGTGCTTCTTGGGATCCTTAAAACAAACCCCATCCCCAGAGAACATCTGAAATCATAAAACCAAATCTGCTGCTATCAAGTCTCACTTGGTCCCTAAATTCCCTTTCTCCCCCAATTCTGAAGTTACCTACTCCTTTGCTATTTAATAGAAGCTATGATTAATTTCAGATGGTGACTTCAGAATGAATTATGGAAGTTCCTGAAAAGAGAGGGGAATTTGCATTTGCTAAAAGGAGGAAGATAGCAGGTGAATTTACTTGAGGATATTCCCCAAAGATTGTGAGTGGGAATGATCAATACTTTTGAGACACAGATGGGCTTATACATTGTTCTGAGTAAAAATGGGATGGCCTTTGATTTAGTGGATGTGCAAACCCAGCCCATTATGGTTTGCATCACAGTACCTAGTTCAGCATTTTGTGTGAAACTTACTACAAAAAACATGGTTAAAACAATCACAGCCTAACACAGCACACAGACTTAGCCAATGTTTGTTTTTCTCTCCATGATAAGAGCTCAGGCCAGCCGAAGTCCCATCCCAAACCATGAAATTTCCCAGCATAAATTGAACCACTTTTTTTCTAGATTATTTTTTACAGTAACAGGAATTAATCTGCATGTGAATTGAAACTTCTCTCTCCCATCCACTTTGAAAAAGGGGAAATGAACAGAAAATCTTTAATGAAACCAAACACTGAGATATTGATCACCACTTCTCCTCCTCACTGAAGATTTCTATTTAGCTTCCTGCTTCTACAGGGACAGGTTGCTATTTGCAAGCTTGGAAAATGTACAGCCAAGGTCACACAAGACTTTGGGTTCTCGTGTTTCACTGTGTGGTTTAGCAATAGAAAAAACCACGGGACTTTCTCCAAAGATGGTGAACTGGTGGAATCTGGCT